AAAAAAAAAAAATACCATGTTAGCAAGGACTTAGAGAAATAAGAAGGTTAATATGTTACTAGTAGGAATGCCAATTGCTACAGCAACTTCGGAAAACATTTTGGCAGCCTTTAGTAAAATTGAAAATGCATGTATCATATAATTCAGTGATACCTTGTCTAGCTATTTATATATATATATAGCATATATATATGCTAAAGATATCCCACCCTTTGTTTTTAAGGATGCATGTATAAGGATGTTCAGCCCTGTGTAGTTTAAAATAATGAAGAATTTGAAGCAATTAAATGTCAGTCATTAGGGAAATGGAAAAGTAAACTGTGGAACTTTCATGTGATAAAATACTACAAAACAGTTCAAAGGAATTAACTAGATCCACAACGTGATGTTAGAGCTCAAAAACATAATGTTAAGTTTAAAAATGAAAAAGCAAGTTGTAGAACATTCTGTACAGTATGTAGTTTATGTAAACATTTTTAAATCCTAGTGAAATGCCTCTTTATTATTTATAGATACAAATATGCAGTTGCTCTGGGAGGATACACTGCAAATATTTGAGAATGGTTGCTTCAGGGTAAATGAAGTAGCTGGTAGGACTCTATGAGGTTGTCAAAGAGAACTTTAGTGATGCAGCTAATATTTTCTTTTTTTAAAATGGTAGGATTTATACATATATAACTTGTTTACAGTTCTTTAAAGCATTTATAAGGAGGTGAAATGCTATCATAGTGTAAGTTTAATGGGCTAAAATGTTAACGGTTGTTAATTCTGTCAAAATACGAGTATTTGTTATATTATTCTTTTCCCTTAGGCAATGATAGCTAGCATTATAGGCTTAGTAATTTGTACTTAAGATGTTTGTATAGTTTTAAACCTTGCTCCACATTGTGTACTCTTTTTCGCTTATGAATAGTAATTAGGAATTTATAAATATTTAATGTTTATTTTTTAGAAAAAACAAAATTATCTGTATCAAGTGCTTTTTCTTCTAGCTCAGTTATTTGAGCCTAGTGAGACATTGATGTACCTGACAATAGCTTCCTATAACCAGAGGAAAATACTTGCAGCTTCTATGAGGCTAGCTGAGCAACTCCTAGTATGTAAAATGCCAAAAACTAGTTGTCTTTGGTCAAATACGCAAAATCCACAGCTTGAATGTGTTCAAGAACAAAGTAGCAAATGAAACAAACTGAAACTAAAGGACAACATTACTGTAGTGGATCTTTTATACTCATTAGGAGATTTATAAATAACTTGAAAGCTTTTTTTTTTTTTTTTTACTGTTATTTTGATTGCTGTTCAATCTGGGAGTTACTTGATAGTGAACATGGTTAATGTGATAGTGAAAATATTTACCCGAAGATGATTTTCTCATGTACAGAGAGCTTTGTAAGCTAATGGGTTTTTATAGAAAATAAAATTACACATGTTTTGTTTCATGTTCTCTGGATCCAGAAATCTAACACTTTTTTTTTTTTAATTTTTTATTTATTGAGAGAGAGAGTGATAGAGAGAGAGCATGAGAGGGGGAGAGTCAGAGGGAGAGGCAGACTCCCCGCTGAGCAGGGAGCCTAATGCGGGACTCGATCCCGGGACTCCAGGATCATGACCTGAGCCGAAGGCAGTCGCTTAAACAACTGAGCCACCCAGGTGCCCCAGAAATCAACACTCTTTATGGAGAGATGATGTTGCTGATATTAGTTCTGTCTGAGGCAAAACCATTCTTAAACTTCTGAGTATTTGAAGATTCACTATCAAATATTGGTAGATGGTAGGGTAAGGATATAGTGGATGAGGTATTGAACAAAGTAGGGGATAATTTCATCTTTGTTTTTTATTTTCTCTTCTCTGCTTTCATGTTTACTGCAGCATGTTAGCCTCTTGCAAGACCCCTGAAGAGGCAACACAAGTATCACAGGAAGGACAGAGAATGTTTGAGAAACTTGAGAAGTCCACAAAGCCTATTGTGGCTGCCATCAGTGGAACCTGCTTAGGAGGAGGACTTGAGGTATAGACTTCTTCCAAAGTCATTGAGACACTATCCAGCATATTGATGGGAATTACAGGCTGCAAACCCGTAGACTGTGGTTTTGCCTGCAAAAAGTTCTTGGAGGAGAATCAGATTTCTTTTTAGTTGTCAAACTTCTGGATAGGTTTCAGTCCTTATTTCATGGCACAGAGCAAGTAAACCAAAGTGTGATGTTTTCATTTTTATAAATTGAGAAGATTTGAACTAGATCTCCAAGGTCTCCTTCAATTCCAAAAACCTGGTTCAAGTTTACAGGGTAAAGATTCAGAAGTGTGATCCATGCTCTTGAGCTACTTAAGTCTAGATGATATGCATTTAAGTGCTTTGTGAGCAGTAAAGATAGTGAATAATGTAAGATTTGAGAGAAGAGATGCTTATTAGACTGGAGCATGTAGGAAAGGAGAGGGGAAAATAAAATAACATTTAATGAGCATTTATCACATGCTGAGCTCTATGCTAGACACTTTCACATATATTAATTAAGGAAACCCATGCCTGGTGCTAAAAGATGGGCAGAAATTGATTAATCAGAAAATAGTGGGAAAAAAATCATTTCACATATGGCATGGTATGGAGCAGACAAGGGTAAGCAAAGCCTATTAGATCACCGTAAGTAGGCCTGCTTGATTGAAAAGGAGGGTCTCTGTAGGGTACAGGACTTCTTAACTTGGCGTGTAATGTACAATGGTGTGTGCATTTTTCTATTTCGAGCTTCCATAGCTTTCAGCAGATTTTTAAGGAGATCCAGAACCGCAAAGGGGTTAATTAGAGGGAAAGTATGAAATAATGCTGGAAAGGTAAATTGTAGAAAGCATCAAATACATTCCTGCTTTATAAGTAATCTTTAGACCCTCACATATTTTAAGATATTATAGAGTTACATTTCCTAACATTCTGGTTTTCTTTCATTTGTTTGAAGCTTGCCATTTCCTGCCAATATAGAATAGCAACCAAAGATAGAAAAACAGTATTAGGTACCCCTGAAGTCTTGCTGGGCATCTTACCAGGAGCAGGAGGCACACAAAGGCTGCCCAAAATGGTAAGTTTAAGCCCCCTGTGACCTTTACAGCCTCAGTACCTATAGGCCCCTTTACTTGTTTTTTGTTTTTGTTTTTGTTTTTTCCTTGTAGTCTGGTTTATTTAGGTTTGTATCAGGAAAAAAAGCACAGTTTATTTTTAGAGCAAAGATTAAGAGTTAAGTTGTAGTGATGAAGAGAGCTCCTCTTACAATATTTAAAAAGTCTTAAAATTTCAAATGATGGGGAAAGTTGGATAGGAAAGGTGAGTATGCTAAAATTGTTATCCTGTGTAAGAGGAGATAATTGTATTCAAGTTCACAGGGATAACAAATCTCTTCTTCATATATTCTCTAGTTTTGGCTATCATACAATTTTCTAGACTAAGTTGCTATTTTGAGAACACATGAAAATACATAGTATAGGGGCACCTGGGTGGCTCAGTTGTTAAGCGTCGGCCTTCGGCTCAGGTCATGATCCCGGGGTCATGGGATCGAGCCCCACATCGTGCTCCTTGCTCGGCGGGGGGGAAGCCTGCTTCTCCCTCTCCCACTCCCCCTGCCTGTGTTCCTGCTCTCGCTATCTGCTATCTCTCTCTCTGTCAAATAAATAAATAAAATCTTAAAAAAAAAAAGAAAATACGTAGTATAGAATTGGAGATTCAAATAGAACACAGACCTATTTGTTAAGCAAGAGAAATGTAACCTTATTTAAATTATGCTCATCTTTACTGAAGACATAGTTCTTTTAAGACATCTGATTCCAGGGCGCCTGGGTGGCTCAGTCGTTAAAGCGTCTGCCTTCAGCTCAGGTTCATGATCCCGGGGTCCTGGGATGGAGCCCTGCATCGGGCTCCCTGCTCAGCGGGAAGCTTGCTTCTTCCTCTTCCACTCCCCCTGCTTGTGTTCCCTCTTTCACTGTGTCTCTCTCTGTCAAATAAATAAATAAAATCTTAAAAAAAAAAGACATCTGATTCCATCTTATCTTAGATCTTTAGTCTACTAAAACTGTCTTGGGTACTTAACATCATAAAAATATGAATTGCTCTTGTAATTCTTTTTTCTTTTTTTTTTTAAGAGCATGAGCTGGGGGGAGGTGGCAGGGGGAGAGAGAGAAGCAGACTCCCTGCCGAGCAGGAAGACAAACGCAGGGCTCCAACCCAGGACCCTGAGATCATGGCCTGAGCCCAAGGCAGACGCCTAACCAAATGAGCCACCTAGGTGCCCTATGCTCTTGTAATTCTTTATACAATCACAGGACCATTAAGAGTTGAATCAGTATTTCTTTCCTTTTTTTTTTTTTTAAGATTTTATTTATTTATTTGACAGAGAGATAGCGAGAGCAGGAACACAAGCAGGGGGAGTGGGAGAGGGAGAGACAGGCTTCCCACAGAGCAAGGAGCCCAATGTGAAACTCGATCCCAGGACCCCAGGATCATGACCTGAGCCAAAGGCAGACGCTTAACGCCTGAGCCACCCAGGCACCCTAAGAGTTGAATCAGTATTTCACAGAAGATGTTTTCCAGGGAGCAGGAACTGAAAAGTCAGTGTGGGAAATGATCCTCACTTTGTATTAAAAGACACAATGACTTTACTTTTCTACAAAGGAGGAAAAAATGTAAATGCAATGTTGTTTCTTTTTTTTATTATTTAAATTCAATTAATTAATGCATGATGTATTACTAGTTTCGAAGGTAGAGTTCCGTGGTAATCAGTCTTACATAACACCCAGTGCTCATTACATCACATGCCCCTTTAGATCCATTTCCTCTGATACAAAAGGCATAATATGGGTATTCATTGTAGAATTTAGAAACAAGATAAAATATGGGTATATAGGATCAGTAACAAATTTTATTACTGGTGTTTATTTTCTCAATTCACATTTTTTAATTCATTGATCAAAATTAATTTTTTTAAAGATTTTATTTATTTATTTAAAGAGAGAGAGCATGTGCATGAGCAGGGGGGAGGGGCAGAGGAAGAAGGAGAGAGAGAATCTCAGGCAGACTCCATGCTGAGCAGAGCCTGATTCAGGGCTCGATTCCATGACCCTGGGATCATGACCTGAGCTGAAATCAAGAGTTGGATGTTTAACTGACTGAGCCACCCAGGCACCCCAAGTCCTTGATCAGAATTACTGATCAAGGTCCTTTATTAATCCCTGAAGAAGTATAAAGGTAAATAAGGTACATGTTTGCCTTACTGGAACTTATAGTTTACTTTTTTAACTTTTATTTTTTTAAAGATTTTATTTTTAAGTAATCTCTACACCCACCATTGGGCTTGAACTTACAACCCAAGATCAAGAGTTGCATGCATTACCAACTGAACCAGTCAGGTGCCCCTTGAACTTATAGTTTAATTTGTTCCTTCTGTGCACAGTACCATCATATCAGTTTTTCAAATCCATGGGTCATATTTCATGATAAATATAAGAGGCAGATCTTTCTCCTGTTTGGATGTTCTCATTGCTGTATTCTGTAGAACCAAAAGAGGCCAATTAGGCCTTTGAATTCATGAGGAGAGGAGAACAGTCAGACCTGGAGGCTGCAGAGCAGTCTTAATATCCCACTGAACCCTGTAGCTTCAGGCACTATTGATTCCTCAATGAAAACAAGGCTCAGCAGAAATACTCTTTGGAGGGAAGTTGATATAAGCTGGACACAAAAATAGGAAGATTTATGGTGTTAGGTTTCTGATAATAAATAGTGTTCATTCCTTCATAGAAATTGTCAAGAGGATTTATTGAAAGAATAAATAAGCCTATATGGGTGTAGAAAATATTGCTGGGTTTCTTTGATTGTTTTGTAATATTTGGTATTTAAATGTTGTTAGAAACCATTCTTCTAGCGCCTACATAAGAAGCTCTGAGTTCTATTTTTTTAATTAATTATTTATTTGACAGAGAGAGACAGCGAGAGCAGGAACACAAGCAGCGGGGAGTGGGAGAGGGAGAGGCAGGCTTCCCGCCAAACAGG